CACCGATACAAAGCGCGTAAGGATTCTATGTGGTCATAGAATGTATCCTGATTTTAATATAAAGAAGTGTCATGATATTATAGATGTGACACTAACCGATACAAAGCACTTTAATTCCTCCAAATGTCAGTTTTTCACAGTTTGATTTTAGATGGCATGGCAGGCATCATAGAATATCATATCATCTATATTCTTCTGATTGTCTCAGTATTAAGGAGGTATGCATAGCCAAAGGAATCGAAAACTAGGCCAAAGACCAGGACATTATCAGCCTAAGAAAACTGGACTGTATTAATTTTATTGACCAATTAATTCTTAGGTCGCTGTTATTGTCTTCTAAGCTTTGTGCTGTACACTTTAAATGCAATAGTGAAATGGTTGAACCATTTACCTTCAATGAAGTTTCAGGTTAATGAAGGATAAAGATAAGTGAAAAGGGCAATTAAAATACAAAGGAATAACAGCAGTAATAAAGCCAGTCCAGTGCCGGCTGCTGCAGCAGCAAATAGGAGGAGCAATAAACCCTAATGGACTTCAGTGTGCTAATTTAGGGGTGGCTGGGCTACTGGAGTAACGGGGAAAGAATGAAGCTATCTCTTATAGGACCTTATTAAGTCTTATTTTGAAGTCTCAAAAATGAGAAACTGTTGAAGGATTTTATGCATAAGAATGCTACATCCACTGTCATTTTTTTTATATTGTTTTAAAGATTTATTTATCTATGCATACAGAACTGGGGTACAGGCCAGAGGTGCAGGGCCGGTGAGAGGATTCACCAGAAACAGAGTGGGGAGCAGAACAGGCAGACTGATGAAGTACACTGCTGAGAGGAGCAGTGGGCAGGTCAGGAGAGGTCTGCTGCGACATGTGGATCACCTTTGGGGCAGGCAGGGATCTAAATCATGTGGAAGTCACTTTAGAGTCTTAGCACTGTACTTTAACCTAATGCACCACCAGGGGTTCGTCAGTGATCATTTTTAAATATCACTACCTACAGGGAATAAAATGAAGTAAAAGGAAAAGTAAGTCTAAAACCAGAGCAGCCTATTGAGAAAGCTTTATTCTAATTCAAGATGAGATGAAGGTGGCCTCAGGTATGTCACTATCTGGTGTGGACGAATGTGAGAGTTTGTAGAAAGTACAATGTGCGGCCTTGGAGACTATTTTATGTAGTGTTAAATTCAGGGATTCCATAAAATAGTTTGAAGACTTGCTTATAAAGAAGCCATTGTTATGCTAAGCTTTATTAGTATCACTGTCTTGGAAGAGTTCCATTTCATAATTTCCTATTTTTTCCTATCAAACCAGTCATTAAAGAGCCAAGAGTTAAAATGTTGGTAGTTAGTTTATTTCCCTCCTCATTTTTTAGTTCCATAAAACCACATCTTGGGCCCTCAACATATCAACCCTTTACACTGAGACTCTCTTCTGCTCATTGACTCCTAACCACCTAAACAAGTCTCTAGCATTTTTATTTTATTACATTTTTGTTTAATCAACTGCGAAAGAGAGAAAATAACCTCATAAATTAATCCTCTGCTTATTGTTAACTCATAATGCCTTCTCAGGTAGTAATCTTTCTATTAGTTATTTTAGGACTTGAGGCCCAAGGCCCTTAAAAATTAATCTCTAGTGATAAAATTCACCTTTTATACCAATGGAAAAAAATATTAAGGAAAAAATACAAGTATCTATGGTGTCCTTTGGGTCACGTTATTATTTGGTTGACTGTTGCAGTCAACAATCAGAACAAGCCTGCAGGGAAACCAGAGAAATGTGAACAAATCTTGAGTTCCCAGAAATCTTTGCTAAAACAATTTAAAAAGCCCTAGATTAGCTGGGGCCTTTTGAGTTCCCTAGAATGTCATTTTGAAATCACTAGTAACAGACACTGGCCATACATTCAAGGTAGAAAATGGAAATCTTTCAAATAATAGACTTCCCTGCCATTAAACACAGTGTACACAGGAGTCACTTTTTAATGCATCATGGGCTTGTATCACTATTCCTGATTATGAAGTTCTGAAATGAATAGCAGGAATGGAGGCAGTGTTTGAATCAATAATTCTTTAATGATTTAGGGATTATTGGCCATTCATTTTCAACTATTTATAATTGAAGTCTTGAAGTAATGGAATTTATCAGAGGGCTGCCTCATTCAACCTTGTGTAATTTGAACATACTGAAGTGGCATGTGAGGACTCATAAATCGTTTATGTGCACAAAGGGGTAATATATCTCTCCACCCCTCATTCACTCAGTTCTGGGAGGAAAGCATGGAAGTATAAGTTATAGCTTACTACACAGACTCCCATAACTTCACATCTTACATTTTCAAAAGGCCTTCTTTTTAAATATAACCTTCATGTTATTTATACTTGTTGGTTATTCATGGTAAAAGGCACTTTTATCATGAGGCTTTTATCAAGGTTTTTTTATTATTTGTTAAAACACGCACAAATGTATTTTATAAAGTCACTTTCTAGAAGTCAAAGAGATCATAATTTGGAGTAAAGAGTTTTGGAGTAAAGGGTCCTGTTGTCTACATACTTTGTGCTGGATTAGGTATATGGGCTCATATACCAGCCAGAGTGATAAAAATAAAAATCAAATTAAGTTGTCTCTTTGAGGGATAGTCTTATGTTTAAAGAAAAGACACTATAACTTTCTTAATGAAGCTATAGTAAGAAATTCAGTTATTATTTTTAACCACTGAGAAGTGCAGACATTGTGTTATAAAAACAAAATAGCTGCTTCAAAGCATCAGTTTTCCAAACCTAACTCTGCTTTTTCTGTTAGAATTATTTTATTATTCCAAGTCTTTTGTATATTGATTGAAATTAGAATCCATTAGGATTGATACTGCACATTTATGAGCCTTGAATCTTAGAATGTTCTGTTTTAAGGGCATGTTTGTAAAATACCATACATGATATCTGGCTATCAGTTAAATGCTCATGAAAAATTATTCTCTTACATGGTTTATATTTGGGGTTTATTTCATGTGCTTAGAGTTTCCTTGTATTTCCAAGATTCTAAGTCCTTGGCCCAGCTATATCAACATATATAGCAAATTTGTTAGACATGCACATTCTAAGGTCCCAAACTCTCTCCCCCAGTACAGAATTAGAAACCACATTTTCACAAGATCCTTAAGTTATACATATATACACTCAATTTTGATATGTCCTGCCTGCACTGGACAGGTAGATGTTGGATGGTAGGTGAAATAAGAATAATTAATTAATCTAAAGAGCTTACTTTAGAGGCAAAATGATAACGTTATAATAACATTTTGAGTAGAGAATGTATCTCAGTAATCATAGTGTTTTGATTCCTTTTACAAGCACTATCTCATTTAGGCAAAAGGAAAGAGAAGAATTTTCTTAGGATAGACAAATGACAGAAGGAGAATAGAGACATTCCGAAATATTACAGGTAATTATAGCCTAGAGAAAAGAAATAAATATAGAGTAGAAATATTGAGAATAAGAACAAATATAATACTAGAGCAGGGATAAGAGAGACAGGGTTCTTCAGAATGAATAGAAAAATATGTTACAGTAATGGATTCAGCCAACCCGGGAAGAACTATTTGGAAGTGACTTAATTAGTATACAAGAGCTCATAATGATTTTTACTCATTTTCCTCACTTTAGAATAAAGTTTAAAAGACTATATACATGTATACTTTAAATGTAAGTATATATATATAAATTATATAAATGCATGTTACTTTATGTAAATCCAAGTATATGCAATTAATTATTGTTACAACCCTATTATTGGCATAGAGGTGTATGATCTTGGTTACATTTTTATTTTAAGGAATAGGTTCAAATATAAGAATCATTGGAGAATATAAGCTATTTGAGGATGGCAGGAGCTAGTGTGTGATCTTTATTCTGACCTGATATCATAATAACTGATGAACCATATAGTGACCAACCAGGCTATTAACAGGGTTAGTGTTACTGGTATGTTTCATAGAATTTTTTAATGGCACCCAAAACTTAATCTTGGAAAAAGGAGTTTAGAGAATGAAGTTTTTTGAACTTGTTTTTTGCACAAGTTCTTAGGGACATAAATCATCCTTGTTCAGTGTGAACAATTTCTATAATGTATAGGAGACACTAAACAACTTCTATTAATTTTACTGGAATTCACTAGAGCTCCATTTTTTTTTTAAAGTAAATGTAAAATGGCAAGTTGCCTGGGTAACAATATCATAAATGAGAATTCTATTCATTATCTCATGTTGCAAACAAATTATCCAAAATCCAGGTTTGCCTTAGCTTGATACCTCCAGCACAAGAAGTTGTGTGAAGTTGCAATCAAGCCTTCAGCCAGGCTGTGCTCTGAATACCCTGTCCATGGCGACGCGTTCACAAGGCTATTGACTGGCTCCAGTTCCTTATCACATGGACTTTCCACAAAGCTGCCTTATGACATAGCAGCCAGCTTCCCCCAGAGCAAGCAATCTTTTTATAGTCAAATCTTAAAGATGCCATTCCCTCACTTCTGCCATATGCTATTCATTAGAAGTAAGTCCACACCATACTAAAACCAATGTGAATACAAGTGTGAATGCCAAGAGGTGGAGATAACTACCGATTGACACAATTGGGTTTTATATTCTCCTTATTTCCTTATGTTCTAACATGTTTATTTAAATGTGCATTATTTGTGTGTAAGGCAATAAAAATATTAAAGACAATAAAATTAAATTAAAAGAAAATATTATTTTATCTAAAATACTCATTTCTCTTTGGAACTATCTTAGTTAAACAATTGAATTCACTGACTAAAAGACATTAATGTCCTTCCTGGACAATATTAGACCATGTCATGAATCCAAGTCTGAGATCGTTAACCTACAGAGCTTTGAATAGCTTTGAAATTTGGGCACTGAAACTGAATAGCAAAACCCCCTGGTGGTAGTATGAATGTCAGTCTTTCTGAGCTGCCTGTCACTCTCCCTCCTGTTCTGTTCTTAACAGTATGCTTGAGAGTTCAAACCGGCTTGATGAAGAGCACAGGCTGATCGCCAGATATGCAGCAAGACTGGCAGCGGAATCCTCTTCTTCTGTGAGTAGTTTGCCCTCGAGAGGATGTTGTGTTCATTACATCACCTTATAGATTGTGTCACCTATAGTGGGCGCTACAAAAGCAGAGCTGAAGAGCTGGCTAGCGGCACACCCACAAAACCTAAAACAATTTGGCATCCACTGCTTCCATTTTTGCACTTTTCAGCTCTCATTATTGTGTGGCATAAATCATAGTTCTATACCACATTGCTGAACCAGTTTAACATCTGAATTCTCCATTTGGTTCCCAGTCAATTAATAGAAAGAGCAAAATAATGACAGACCCACAAATGACTCGGTTGAGTTTCTACTTTTATCACCATGTAAATATACACAAGAAAGAGAAAGCTATGTAATGAAATCAGAAGAAAAACATGGAACGGGGGTCAAAACTATTATATGCCAGACATACATAACACTAGAAAGCCAGTTAGGATATAAAGTATAGGAACTCAAAATTTTTTATTAGCATCACAATTCATTTCTTTTTAAAAAAAGTACTAATTTAAAGTGATAGAAAGGCTTTATGAAATCCACTTCTACCTGTTTTATTTAATCTCTCCTCCAACCAGGTTTCTAGACCTAAGAAGCTAGTTGAGCTTTTTCACATCCTTGGATTTAGGCAGCCAGAGCCATTTTTCAAAGTTCGGCATTTTTTAGTAGAAAATTTCATTGTGTTTTTTTTAATTTGTTTTAAAAAATAATAATAATAAAATTTGACATCAAGGAATTTCTATAATGTGCTGCACAGGGTAGTACACATAATCTAACCCAGTGTTTATAAAGCAAATTAGCTCTTGGCTAAATATACTTCCCAGTGTACGCAGATACCCATACAAATGTGGTATATAGTGCTCTATATACATATAAGTATTTGTGAATGCATTAATATGTATTTATCTAGTCAGAAACTATTGCACATATATTTATATAATTTGTTGAGTTAACTTGCATGTATAAAATTCTGTAAGAATGGAGAAAGCTGTCGCCACATATACAGCAGTCGTTAGAGTTGGTAGAATGATGCTGGTATGAACATAATGAGTTATCGGAAAAGTCATGACTTTTTTTTTCTTTGAAAAACAAAAAAAAATGCATCATGGCTTTTCTGACAACCCAATAATTGATAGATTGAGGGAGGGAGGGAGAGAAAGAGAGCCATTTGTGTAAATTTACATATATGACTGAAGAAATTCTAATGTTTACCAAAAGAAAGCTACATTAACTATGACTTTAAATTGTACAATAATTGAACAATAATGCTAGATTAAGTTGTCTCCGTTGTATAGTATTTTTTGAGCTTATTCTATTGAGAGAATAGTTGCGATGGGAACAGAATGGCCAGAATTATTAAATAGTGCCCCCCACAAACCTCAAGTAAGAAAGCTAAGAAAACATTTTCCCTGTGTTTTGTGTATTTTCCTGTATAGAACTCTGTTCTGCTTTCCCATATGGAATGTACTCCAGACCCATGGGAAAGTTAGTTCCTAGTAGAGTAATGAGGATTTCATTTTATGTGTGTGTGTTTTGAATCACACAGTTTCTTCTTCTTTTGACTGTGCAGCTCACAATTCCCGTCTTCTCAAACATATTCTCAATGCCAATATTGAATTGTGTAAAACCCATCTTTTGCAGCAGCCAACTCAGCAGAGAACTGCTCCTGACATCTCCTTCACCATTGATGCAAATAAGCAGCAAAGGCAGTTGATTGCAGAACTAGAAAACAAGAACAGGTAAAACTTTTTAGACATATGGGCTTTTTGACAAAAGAATGTATTTGTTAATAACCCATGGCGATGCTTTAAAATGTTCAGGTTTTTCAATTTGTATGTATAGATAAGGAAAGTCATCTAAAGACAGTGATATTGACTTCTAACAAACTAATCTTTAGAGTTTACATCTTCAGAGCTTCATAAGAAAACTATATATTTGTCTCACTTTTAACCTTCAGGAGGAGTTTGGGATCTTTGTTTCACACCTGTAGAATTTGACCTTACAATGTGGAGATAAATGGTCAGCATATTATTTTAAGTTCCACAGAAAAAAATAAAAAGCAGATACAAACAGTATATTTCTCTTGGTGAAAAGTTTTAGGTTTAAATAGCCTTTTAGATCAGGCTTTTACCAATAAGACTCTACCAATTAGGATGGTGACACCATGACTTAATGGCCTTTGAAATTATGCTTCAACTCTGACCCCCAGAGATATTTGCTATCTGTGATCCCTCTCAATTTACCAAGGGATAGGAAACAAAGAATAGACAGGGATGAGTAGAAGCATGGTGAAGAATTAGACAGAAAAAAGAGTCTCACAAATTGGAACTTGTTATGGATAATTGCACAATGCAAAGTTGCCCATTCTGTTTTAGACATTTGTTATCTCTACTATTCGAATAATTGTGCTGTGAGGAGGGATTGAGGAGCAAAGGTGAGTTTCAGATGAGTGAAAGCACTGAAAACCCTGTAGAAGAACCACCCAAGAAAGAAAAACAGCATTTGCAGGTGGTATCAACAGAAGGAGCAAGAAGGCTTGTGGGAAGTATCTGAGTAGCCTGACAATGTGCATCCCCATAGCTGGTTGTGTAGAATTGACGTGGGTGAAGACTAAAAGAATGGAGGTAACATGTTCAGAGTTATCTTCAAACTTTATATCAACTGAGGAAACTTTATATCATTGGGGGGGGCCTTATGGGGTTAAGTCTTAGCACTATGAAGCTATTCGCAGCCACTGCAGCTTGGATTTGATCCCTGCCAGGAAGCTGACCTACAGGGTGCAGACGGCTCCTGTCTCGCCCCCTGCTCCCCTCAGCAGTATATTTCAGTCAACCTGCCTGTTCTGGTCCCCACTCTGTCTCTAGTCTTCACACACACACACACACACACACCCACACACACACACACACACACACACACCTGGCCTGTATCCAGCTCTTGTATGCATAAATAAATAACTCTTAAAAAAAAGGACATAAAAAAATGGAAGAAATGGCCAAAAGGATTAGTTTTTTGTTGTTGTTGTTGTTGTTTGTTGTTTGGCTGTTTATTTTTCATCTCAGAAATGTTGCTTACAACTTTGTTTATGGATTAAAAGTATAGAATCTCCCCTCTCAGGTCCTGTTACCACACCACACCACCAGCAAGATAGCCACTGTTCACTCCTACAGTCCAATGTGTGCCGCCTTTTCTCACACCCTTCTCTTCTTCTTCCTCCTCAGTTCAATAGTCACCTTTCTAGGATTTGTTATTAGTTGGGTTTTATCTGTCCCTCTGGTTTTTTTTCTCTATACTTCACTGTTATAATATTATCTTGTACTTGTCTTACTGCTTCTGACTTATTTCACTTAACATAATCTCCTTCAGCTCCATCCATGTTGTCACAAATAGCAAAAGTTAATCTTTTGGTAGCTGAATAATATTCCAAGGGAATTAGTTTGAAATTCTTAACAATTAGATTTAATTAAAAGTTCCATCTCCTTTAAAGAAACCCAAAAAATGCTATTGATGACCTTAGCAAATATTATAACTGGGCTCTAAAGGTTTGTTTGTCCTTTTAGCCAAAATAAGCCTACAGTGTGTGTTGTGAAGTTTATTCAAAATGACTCCGTCAGATATAGTGGATATCAGAAAATCAGTCATTGTCCCAAAGTAGTCAAAATAGAGAGCTAATGAACAAAGAAGAAAGCATGTGTATGGGGGATGGGAGTCACTGTTTTCTTTGGAATGAGGTCATGTCAGCTTCAGGCCTGATTTGAACTCAGCACAAAATGAAGCCATTTTCTGAGAAGGAGCTAATTTGCTAGAGAGTCTCTTTATTCATAGTTATAAGCAGATATCATGCCTATATTCTTTGTCCACCCCGACCCTCCTTTCTCTAAAATGTATACACAGTAACCAACAAGGAGTCATAAAGGAGCAGAAGCTTATAGCTGCCAGTTGGTAGTAGTAAGAGCCCAGGTCTTTCTTTGGGGTTTGTAGAGAGCAGAAAAATGGTAATTGTGTATTTATAGAGCATGTGTACAAACATCTCATTTCATCCTCAGAACAATTCTGTGTGACTAACAGATGTCTATTATCTTCCCCACTATACAGACTGTGTGTTTCTCTGTTTATAGCCTACTGTTTTTTTTCCCAGTATGACCTATAGTCTAGATTATGTAAACTTTATAGTGTAAAGATTTTTCTTTTTTTTTTTTAGCTTTAGTAGAAAGTAGATCTTTATTCTTTCAAGATTTATTTATTTGTGCATAGAGAACCGGGGTGCAGGCCAGAGGTGCAGGGGTGGTGAGAAGAGTCAGCAGAAACAGAGTAGGGAGCAGAACAGGCAAGATGGACAAAGCACACTGCTGAGGGGAGCAGCGGACAGGTCCGGAAAGGTCTGCCGAGCCACGTGGATCACCTCCAGACAGGGATTGAACTCACACTGAAGTGGCTGCGGCTAGCTTGCAGTGCTGCATTCTAGCCAGTTGAGCCACCAGGGAGGGCCTAAAGTAGAGCTTTAATTGACCTTCCAGGTCAGTGAAAAATGTGGTCAAGAATCCCATGTAGGTATATATGTGAGCTTTGAGAAAAGGACTAAATATCTGCCAAGCTGGCATGAGGAGATAAAATGAGGAGTAAGACTGGAAGCATCAGTCTTGCTTACAGTGTTAGCCTACTCGCCCACCTCACCCAAACCTTGACTTTCCCTTCCAATACCCTGCTTAAACTCAGCATGAGAATGGCATACTTGAGGGACTTCCTTTAAGGATATATGCCAGGGATCTGTCTCCCCATGGAACTATTTTCTATTCCAGAATCAGCAGGAAGCACCATGACTGTCCCCAGCTGCGCTGTGATTTCTCTCTTACTGCTGTTTCAAGCACATTTTGGGCTTATACTCTCTAAGCACATGCTTTCAAGGCCAAAGAAAGAATAGAGAAATGGAATGAGAAGAGATGAAGAAAGAGCTTCATCCTGTCTCTGCATTCTTCATGTCCTTAGATTTCACCCCCTCCCCATCCATTTCAACCCATATCCCTAGAAAACTTCAAGCTCTACAAAGACCTCAGAACCAGTTCCCTGAAGCTGATTCAATTCACACTCTTGTACTATGGAAATTCAGTCCAGAGTCCCATGATTTACTAGTTAATCCAATGATTAGATCTCTGAGCTTCAGACAAGAAGAGAGTCCCTCATTTCACTTCATGATTTCTGTCTACTCTAGATAATTCATGACATTTCAGCAATGTATTTAGAAAAGAAGTTTTCCTGACAGCATCCTTTGAAGACCCAGATGGGGTTAGTATTAGAAGGAACAGAATTCTTCAAATTACATCATGTAAATCACAGCCTGCTAGGCTAGACCTGTCAGGGCAAGTGATTTGTCTTTGGACTGGGGGTGTCTGACATACATGGGCTTGCAGCTAAGCAACCTGGGCTTCTCTACCTCCTACTTGTTATTGAACTTGGTAATCTTTTAACTTGTCTATGTTTTAATCTCCTCATTAATACAGCTGATCATAGTAGAGCCTATATATAATAGAATTATTAGTATTAAATGAAATAAGATGAAAGCACATTTTCTGGATATAGACTAAGTTCTCAATGCCCATTACAAATCTTATCATTTTTTTCTTATCATTGATACTTTTCTTTGGCTTCCTTGGACTTAATCATTTTATCATGGTTCTGTCCATAAAACCAACAAGGAGTTGGTAGCCTAGGGGTTAAGTCGCAGTGTTGTCACCGCAGCAACATGAGTTTGATTCCCCAGTCAGGAAGTTAACCCCTAAGCCCCTGCAGACCTTCCCAGTCCCACCTGTTGTTTTGTATTGTATTTTGCATTGTATTTTGTAGAACTGCCTGTTCTGCTCCCCACTTTCTCTCTGGTGAATCCTCTTATCTCCCCAACCCCCACATCTCTGGCCTACACCCCAGTTCTTGTATGCATAAACAATAATTTGGAAAAACCAACAAGGAGAACTGCTGGGAATCACAGAATGTCAGGACATTATTCCTGGAGGAGCTTTTCCAAATCCAGCTCACTGATTTTCAGGCTGAGCCCATGCCACCCTGGGAACTCTGCAGACCAGAAGAGGAGGGAAGAAGCAGTAGCAGCACAAGGCTTATCCTTTCTTCAACTAGAGCTATTGTCCATTGATGGTGTGCATATTGGGTTTCCATGAGATATTTATTTTAAAGAAATAGTTTCACCATGGAACATCATGGGGACCAAAAAAAATGTTTAAATTCATCCTTCTCTCAAACCCATAAGAGGTCTAGTGACTCATTGACATTATTCTCTTTTTGTGAGTCACTTATTTAATCTATTTTTTGTTTATATTTTCAAGCATGCATTCAGTCATCATATATTAATTTAACAATTATTTATTGAGCATTCATTCTGTGCTAGATATTGTTCTGGTGATAGGGATACACTAGGAACAAAAACAATAAAAATCTGTATGACCTCAGGAGTCTGAAGCCTGGGGGCAAGACACACGAACAATGTAATAAGTAAAGTATATCCTATTTAGATGACAAGTGCATTAAAGGAACAGATAAACGAAGATGGGAAATCCTGCATGGCAGCAACATCGGGGTGTGTTGCACTTATAATTAGGATAATTGTAGTAGACCTTTTCGAGGAGATGACATTTCAGGTGGGAATCAGCCATACAGATATTTGTGGAAAAGCCCTAAGGCAAGGACATGCAGCTGCAGGGGATGAATCAGTAATCAATTAACTCCATTATCTAGATATCTGCTCTCAATTCTATCACCTCTCAGCCAGTGGGTTTCCTGAAGCAGGAAAAAAATCCACTCTAAAGTGCTTCTTCCCCATTATTAACTCCATAGTCAGCAAGCTTTCACGAAGACATGAAATTAACTAAAGATGCTAAAGTATGTTTATCAAATATAGAATAATTTTCCATTTGACCGTTTTTTCTCAAAGGAGTTTTTCTGACATAATTTTTTTTTTTGAAGAATAACTGACATAACATTCACTTCAGGTTTACTAACACAAAAATTCAGTATTTGTATATACATTAAGAAATGATCGCAATAAGTCTAGCTAACTATATCACCATGCATAGTTAAAAATATTTTTTTCTTATGATAGTTTTTAAGGGATTCTGTCTGAGCAGCTTTCAAATATGGAACACAGTATTACTAATCTTCAAGCTATGCAATTAAGTCCCCAGGAGTTAGCTCATTAGCCTTTTGATTCTGGTATGCTTGCAAAGCAGGCAGTTGTGAATCAGCCTTTCAGCTGGCAACACTCCCTTGCTCACTACACTCACCTGCCATTCTTAGTGCTCTGTTCTGTTTTATTGGTTCTTGTGTGCTTTGCTGGATGGGAAACCCACCCCTTCCACCAACAGCATGTGACTTGTAACCTTGCTTTATGGCTTCTAACTCACTTAGGATAATTTGCTTTGCACAGGTCAGCTGTTCTTAATGGAAGGCCTAATGCTCACCTCAACAGAGGGCAGTCCAGGCCTCAACATCAATAATACACTGATGTGTCTTGCCCCGACAGGGGTCACACCACTAACACTCTTATTTCACAGATTCAATTATAGTGAATCCTTTTAAAAGCACTTTCCTTCTAAGGCTGCCTCCATTGAGATCCATTGTGAGGCTGAAAATGTTAAGAAAAAGAAATAGAATTTTGCCTAACTGGGGGCATCTCAGAAAAAAAATCAGTGAGAGGCATTTCATTCCTGATGACAGAATGGAGTTATTTAGTTTTGTGAAATGGGCACCATTTATCCTTCTTTTCCCTCCAAGCACCTCTTATTTGGTAGCTTTGGATACTTTATAGTACCAGACTGTGATCATAAATAATAGGAAGATACATTTTTGTCTCTGAAGCAGTACACTTTTCAAAGTTGAACACATTACCAAGGCATTATATTACTTGTAAGAGAGATTATTCAGTCTCAGTGATAACACTTAACTTGAAGGCTCCAGGGTTTGGCTGTACTAGAAATGAATTCAGTCTGCCTCTCATCCCCAGCACCCAACTAGCTACAGCCCACGCCTTGTAAACACAGTTGACAGTGAGGGTCACTGATGCTCCTAAGTGTAGCATGACCCCTTTTTCTTTGCTCTGGGATTTTAATCTGCTTAGATACTAGTACCTGTATATCCTGGATGTGAACTGAACCTGGCTTCTTAACCTTCTCCTCTTTCCCAAGAGAAATCTTACAGGAGATCCAGAGACTGCGGTTAGAGCACGAACAAGCTTCTCAGCCCACTCCAGAGAAGGCTCAACAAAACCCCACTCTGCTGGCAGAGCTCCGGCTCCTCAGGTAAGAAATAGAGCCCCAGGTCTCAGGGAACACAAGTGTTTGAGATCTTTAATAGAGCTGAAAGATGTCTAGCTAGAAAATGTTTTTAGCCACTAGAGCTAGTGACACTTGTTTGTTCTATTTTGCTTTTTAATAGCAAATACCCAATTGCTGAAATGTGACACACATTTTTATAAGTACAGATACCTCTTCTCAGAAAACCTTGTCCCTGTTAGAGTTTATAGTTTATTCTTTCATTGGACACAGAGAGAAGGACACCGTGTGCTTAGCTCTAAACTCTCGCCGAAAAAAGCATTGAACTCAACCTTTCTCTCTGTTGTCACTACCAGCAATATGTTTATGTCACAGTAATGCACAAAATAAACACATAAACAGCTAAATCATTTTTATAGGTTTTTAAATTTTAAGAGCTGCCTGTGTCCCATGAAAGGGAGTCTGCTTTACCCTAAACCTGATCCCTAACAGTTTTATGTACAGATCTTAAAAATAGCTTTCCTATCTTGTTCTGCCAAGGAATTTAAAGCCTGGTGTCTAGTCGGTGATCATGAAATATTTGGGAATACTTCCCAAAATTCTCAGAAAGAACCTAGGAATGTCCTCAGGGGTTAATCCCTGAATTTCAGCACACTTCTCAGAGTCAAAGCAGAACATGGATAAGGACTGTGTACCTTCAATACACACATGTACTAAATGGAAGTCATGTCCTGGATTCCACAGCAGACTGGCTCAGCCCTGTGCCTTAAAGGTGGCATAGATTCAAGCCCATTCTCCTATGCAAGTACTAAGTAGGCCCAACCCTGCTTAGCTTCTGAGATCAGATTAAGATTGGGTACATTCAGGGTGGTGTGGCTGTATACGCAGATGTATTTCTGTAGCAAACAACCTGAACATCAACTCAGACATTCCCTCATAGAACTGTCATATCGCCCATTCAGACAACAAGGATGACATCCCTTCCATACTTCAGTGGGTACCAAGTACATTCCAGGTATATCTAATTCTGAGGCATGATATTTATTTACTTTTAAATTGATGTACCATTGGTTGACGTCCTTGGTAGTGTTTTCACAGGATAGGATTTCCCTGCTCAGGTGTAGTCACTGTGATGTTCCCACCACCTAAACACCCAGTCCTTTACCACAGCCCATTGTGCTCTCTTCTCTCCCCCCTCTTTTTCTGAAGGTGACACAGTTTTATAAGTACAGATACCTCTTCTCAGAAAACCTTGTCCCTGTTAGAGTACTGTTTACTTCTGCCATACAAAGACTAAATTCAGCAGGGTCTGGGTGTAGGTGTTTGGATTTTGCCAAGTCCCTACTGACTGTGGTCATAGATACTGCTGGAGGCTTCACCCTGTCCGGCTTTTCAGAGCTTTTCGGAGCACTGCCGCCCACCTGGCCCCACTGCAGGCCCTGCCTGTTCACAGGCTGGATCAGTCTGTTCCTCCCCACGCCCATACAGCTGACCTGGAGCATAGACCCACCTACAGTCTGAGTTATGGGAAGGAGGCTGACAGAATCTGCCACACAGGGTCACTTAATATGAAGAGATCACATCATCCTTCAAACAGCAAAATCATTTCATGGAAGAAATAGAAATTCTTCCTTTTTAATCTGTATGATTTCTGGTCATCCTTCCAGAGAGCTATGCTACACCATCTCACAGAAGGACTGATCATGAAAAGAAAGGAAAAGTGATATTTTAAATCCGCTTCCTCCTCAAAGACATGTGACAGCCATGGCCTGCTTGAAAATACCTTTTGTCAAATAGTATTATATAGGCCCTTCAGACCTAGAATTTGAAAGTCAAGTCTAATCTATACAGAAATGTAACTAAATGAACCAGCTCAAAAGGAAATAGCCATTCACTGACAAATCAGAATACCTTTTCTCTGCTTGAAATGTTCCTTTCACCCACCTCTACTGAAGGAATTTTCTGTAGCACTTTCATTTGTTTTCCCTATTAGAATTTGCTCTCAAAAATACGTGGTTCCATTTGGATGATATATTCTGGGAAAGTATCTCGATGTGCCTAGGTCACTGATGATGACTTTCCAACTGATATTTTTTCCCTCCATGTTGCAACCATCTTGGAACACACTATTTATCCTACCATCTGCCTGGCCCTGACCCGCGGGGCATGCCCAAGGCCCCAGCTGAGCCCAGAGCCAGATTAAATCTCTGTGGGGAACACCTGTGCTCTCTTCTTCACTGTCAACTCATGGCCCACACCTGAGACGTGAGCAATGAGGCCTGAGACACCTACCTCCCAGCTGCCTTGCTTGATAGCCTCCATATTCTACACATTCCTCTTTGGAGGTTATTTCTCTAGGCACTTGTAAGCCACATTCTGCTATGCAATTTGTAGATTGCACACATGCCCTGACATCCCAGGTTAAGAAACTAGTCTCTGTGTTTGAAGTTTTAACCTCTCATCACTTCAGATATCCAAGGACTCCAACGCAATGACCTTTTGCACAGTTACTTTGGCATTGGTTGACTTTGAGCAGTCGCCATATGAATTAGCCACAAAAACTCATTGTAGCTTTGATAGAGTCTTCTCCAACCACAGCTTCCTTCCTCAGCCTCGTGCTAACAAATCAGCAGGAGAAATTGCTTTCCATTGGTCAGTGGGGGAGGAGAGAAGAGCATAGCTTTGCTTTTCATGAACACATAGTTTATTTTTATCTTAAGAGCACTATGACCTTTCCAAATGATCATATTTCTCTTTTCACTTTAACCACAAGAAAGCTGAAAGCAAAGTTTGCAACCCAGATCTGGCAATAGGATTGTATGATAGGCATTTCTGTTCACTGCTCAAATGCTTCCTATGCACTAGGCTCTACCTACAACATTTCAGGTAATTGTTCCAACAAGCCTGGCAAATCCACACTGTTATTATACTCTTTTTATAGACACAGAACTGTGTTTCACAGAAGTTAACTAACTTGTCCAAGAGCCTGCATAATAAGTAGCACAGGTGGATTCTATCTCCTTTTCTCAGATATTAATTATCTCCTGCTGGAAAATCAAAATGAATACTTGAATGATTCCTAACCTGTTATCAGAATTATATGTCCTTGTTTTATTACTCATTCAATAAATGTTTCTAAAATGCAGTGCCCAGAACTTTTCTGGACATCATGCTACCCTAGTAAATAGAAAAATAATCTCTGATCTCACAGAATTTGTAATCTAGTAGGAAAGTTACATAAATCAAATAATCACAATTTTTTTTAAGCATAATCTAAGTGTTCTAGGAATCATGCTTTCAAAAAAAGAGAGAAATACCAAAACTGTCCTCCACAGAGTCAGGAGAAACTACCGTAGAGGAAGGATTATTTGACTTGAAGTATAACGGCATGGGGATGGAGTGGCAGACTGGGGCAGCCAATGCCAGCAGCCCCAGAAGATAGAGATTGTGTCTACAAAGACACACAGACAGGAACAATTCTGATACTTTTTGAGCAATAAAAAGATTTGTAGACCTGGAATGCAGGGTATAATGAAGGAGAATTTAATAGGAGATGGAACTAAAGATATGGCTGCTGTATGGCCTTCCAGATCATCTTGAAGCTATTGCTATTACAGTTAAACATAAAACAGGAAGCCACTGATGAGCTACAGTGTGGATTAAGCTGTCAAGTCAAACTCATGTGAATTAAAGATCTTATTCCAATGTTGAGCTTATTTCAAAGCTACAGGTAATCAAGCATCCCACATGTTAGCACACACTTTTGTCTTTCTCTCTACACACACATTTACTATATGAACTACAAACACATCTCTGATAACCCATTTAAGACATTATAACTCTTTACCCCTAAATATTTTCTATATCACATATACATGTGCGTACACACAGAGATATATATATATATACACAGAAAACCATAGTACCATCTTCAAATCCAGGAAACTTAATATTGAATTTTATTATTAAATGTTGTCCATTGTCCCAACATTGCCATAAGAAAATGTTTTAAAATTAGCAATAAACTAATAGAACTTCAGAGTAAAATCATTCCTTTGGAGGTAAATATATCCAGCTCCATGAAAATAAAATCCCTATTTAGACCTTGTCTCCTTATTTCTCTTTGGATTGGTATAGGTCACACCACAAATTTGTTATCAGAACCACATTTGGGAACCACCTAGTATAAACATCCATAGAGAAAACTAAATAAAGGCATTATTAAATGAATATTTTTTAACTTAATTCAGTCAAATGTGTGACATGTTATAAAAAATGACTACCATAAGAAAAATGTACAGTGTTTTTATGCTGGTTAATTTAAAGTTAATACTTGTTAAGTTTTTTCAGATGGATTTTAGATGCCTCTCTTAGTATTTATTAGCTTAGGTATCAGAATTTTGTTTCAACCTTTCCAAATTACTCCTGTGACCAAAGACCACTTATAAGTGGAAATAAGAAACATTATCACCCTCCCACCAGGCCCTATTGTGAATATATTTGCAGCACCATTTGCAGATAAGGTTGAAGAGAAGCTGGTAGTGGATTTGTCACTGAATAATATTTTTGAATAGGGCAACAATTCAATAATTAAATACTGAAACTAAGCATCACTAAAGTCTCTAAAAGTATGGTGTTCCTCATGCTCTGGACTCAGAAAATAAACAATTGTAAAGAAAATAAAGAAAGCGTCGCTCCAGGAGTAAGCTTAAGTGTCAACAAGAGCTAAAATATAAATATATTCAGAGGGTTGAAATATGTTTATATATTTTAAATTCATAATTTGTTCTATAGAAAGCCTAAGTGAAAACAAATTGGAAATATTGCACTTATATCTATATTTCGTTTACATCTGTCCTCCCACAAAATATTTTTCAACTGAATAAGTCATTAACCTAACTCAGTGTGACATTTTTCTATTGTCTGTTTCATCTCAGAGTCCCCGTTCTAGCTTCACTTAATATTGTGGTTTTGCCAGTGAGACCACACATACCCACTCATGTGTTTAAAGCATCCACACACTTTTAAAATACAGGTCCCATATTTCAGACTCAGAAGCCTTTGGAGCATTAAGAAAAGATATATGTTACTTATTCACTAATATTCATGAAATCACAGATTTGGAAATTGATTTGAAAAATATCCTTATAATTCAGAAATGTGAACTATTAATACTCTTTTCCATATTGTTTTATTCTTCATTTCCCCCACTTTAAAGATACGTTTGGTAGTTTTTAATGTCAACATAATGTCCAGAATGGACAATGTGTACTTCTTATTGCCAGTTTAATAGACATTCTACAAAGCAAAACAAAATTAAATAAGCACAGATCTTGTAGATATTTTCAGTTAGAACAATTGTGCAGAAACTCCTTTATTCTCTACTCAAACCAGGGAATTTAGATTAACTGTAATTACTATATACTATTAATATTTTATCTCTGAAAGATGCCACATTGCCCACTATTTATGGAAAGATGAAAAATATAATTTGCTAACTCAATCTCCAAATACCAAGGTAGTCAGCATTTTCTGTTAAATTCACAAGAGTCCTTGAGTTTGGAGGATCAAACTTTTTCCAATAACAGCTTGTTTTTTTTTTTTTTTTCTTATCCCAAAGAAGCCCAGTGATTATCCAAAAAGCGTTTCATTAAATTATTAGCTCATGGTAATAAGGGGTGTCTAAAAGAGTTTAACATGGTTTCTAACAAAAAATGTATATAATTTAAGTTATAATTGTTCATTCATTTGACAAAATTTTTCCTATCTCATAACCATGTCAAAGATCCGTAGCTCTTTTCCAGGTGGTTTGTTAAACCCACAAGATTGGAAATATGATTAGCTCAGTGAATCCAATGCTGTTGCTGATGATGACTGCTTCTTTCTTAGACAGCGCAAGGATGAGCTAGAACAGAGAATGTCTGCTCTCCAAGAGAGCCGGAGAGAGCTAATGGTCCAGTTAGAGGGTCTCATGAAGCTACTAAAGGTAAGACATTTATAAATAAATGTTGCCTAGACCTATCACTCTGGCATTTGTGTTAAAAAAAAAAAAATACTTTGCTCATAATGTACACTGGTTTTTCCAATCTGTTTTATGTGATTTCCCCCAAAACATGTTTCAAATTCAGATTCTGGGTCATCTTAGACACATGAATAGTAGCAGTCAATTATAGAGCTCGTTCTTACCCATTTCCCAGAACACAACCACTAAGTTCCTTTGTGGGGTAACTTTTGCTTGGTTTACTTCCAGTTCCTTGTGTCCTTAAAACTAATAAACCTGGAGTTACCAGAAATATTTTTATTTTTAATGCTTTTAGCAATTGTGACTAAATTAAACAGAAGTTAATGTCTATTAAGCTAGTCATTAGATAATTTTGGTGCTTATCGTTTTATTAAGAGGAATAACTTTGCTAATTTTAGTAAAATATTTTATCCCACCTGTATGTGACTTTACCAGCAAGTCACATAACTTCTACCAATCACAAATGCAAATCCCAAAGGGGGATATCGTCTTGCTTTTCTCCAGGGGTGATCCATAGATGTCCTTGCCGGGTGTGATAGTCTATTCTTCCTACTGAGAAGTAGCATCCTTTCTTTAATAAATCTATGTCCACTCTTCAGTATACACTAAATTATATTTCAAGTCAAAAGTAAATTACTACAACCACATGTCTAGAGTCAGCTCAGTGGAAGTGCCTGGGCCCCATGGTCATCCTGCCTAATGTAGATGTCCATGAACCAGTGTGGACTGGTCTTGTGCAGTGATGAAGGCAGGAACTGGCATCTGACAGAATGATGATGGCCACACCCCTGCTGCAGCTTGCTTCAGTGCCTGGACCCCGCAGGCTTGAGGCAACATCATTACTGTTTCTGTACTGTTTGAGTTTCTTTCTCCCCTTCCTACCTGTCTTCCTTTTTTCTTTTATTTAGTTAACAAAAACTTCAAAAACCTAGTATGTCCCAGGAACTGCTGTTTTTTTCTTTTGTTTTCTTCATTTATTTTTATTTCTTAGCCTACTTTTCCTGCCATCAGTGTTGGGAATGCTTTATTGCTACTAAACAAAATTTACTTTTCAGTGTCTTGGACTTAAAAAGTATAGAATTCAGTCTTGGCTATGCTGTGTATGCTAAGACAGGATTAGAAAATTAATAACCTCTTGTTGTTTTCTGGCCCATCATTTGTTGATCCAGAGAAGCTCTTTCTGCTTTCCTTTCCAAATCACCAAGTGAAGAGGGCCGAGCACATCTTTCCCTCACTGACTGACAGGAAACTTTGAAACAACACCCTGCTTCTATCCCCAGTTTCTGTCACCATAGTGATGAGGCAGGAGTCTACCTCCTGCCATCTTGGCATCAGCCTGGCCTGAACACAGTGACTGTTTTAGGATATACAAACTTAAGATAGAGAGAAAGATAGTATTGAGAGGTGGTTGAATAGATGGAGGAAAGAGATGGGACTGGAGTCTCTATTACCTCAATAGCTTTGAAACTAAAATGACTGAGGTAGAAGAGGCTTAACCTGCCGTCTGAACCGGGATGATATTAACCTGCCACTCTGAGCTGGGTCAATGTTCCCCCCCCCCCGCGCCCCCTACCCTTGCATTCCTTCACACTGTGTACATGCTCTCATTGGAACCCTGGGTAATCTAACTGATATTGATTCGATCTTTCTGTAGGAAGAAGAACTGAAGCAGGGAGTAAGTTATGTTCCCTACTGCAGGTCTTAACTAACAGTGGAGGGGCCTGCCGTCCTGCTGTTTTTCTCATTGCTTTTGCCTCTAATGTATGTTCATGCTTCAGTTTGGAAAGAGAAAAATATATCATACTAATTTGCTTCCTTTTCAATGTAGTGCTTGAATTGAGATATATAAAAGTTAGCAATTTTTATAACTATTACAACTGTCAGCATCAATAGAAGAACTCTTACATCTTTCAGAAAAGGGAAAAATTGTAATTTATTAGAAATTTTGAGATGTCCAGGGAAGTCTCAGTTTCACACCAGTCAGATGCCTTTCTGGGTTGTTGATCAGACCCTTCTCTACAGAGAAATATACCCACCACTGTCACTACAGCTACTGCAGGTAAAACCCACAGCACTAGGAAGCTGACTTTAATATCCTTCCATGCTGTGAATGTTCAACAGTTTGCATTTTACTCAAGAGGTGTGGAACCTCTTTCAATAAAAATCAGCCAATTATGTCTCTTTTCACAGCATAATTATGATACCTGTTCCCTACTGCTCACCCAAATGTGTTCAATTTTATGTGGAAAGGCTGTACTCAGTAACTGTTCACTTCTCACCAGTTCTCCCCAAGTAAAATTTCTGGGTTGACAATGTCAAGACAATAGGCAACTTTCAGCCTTTTTTTAATCATCAAGAACCTTTTTGCAATAGGAGTTCCCAGGCCCTTATCTACATCATCTCTGGAAATAGGGGCATTTAATGCTCCAGATGTAACAGAAATGGACATTCTTATCTTACCCTGTGGTCAGTCAGAAGCCAGCAGAGGGAGCAGCATACTCAAAAAATAATAATAAACTAGAAGCAAAATAAAAGCAATTTTAATATCAAATGCATGTACCAAGCTGTGTTTGACTATATGGTCCACTTGTTAGTCTTATCAAGAAATTTCACAATTCCCATGGATCAATTAGAACCACATCCTGTCCAATTTCAACATAACTTTTAACTCTTCTGTATTCTCTTTCCTATTATTCATTGTGTGTGTTTGTGTATAACAAAGAATGTTTGCAAAATGCTGGACACATTTTTACCCTTAATTCCCATGGTCTGTAAAAAAGGAAAGTGTAAAATCTATCTGTATTGTCAGACAATAAAGACAATGTATTACATTAATTTGTACTTTGTGAAAAAAAGTTACTTTACTGAACTCAATTTTTAATAAGAGGCAGCATCCTTGGGTGAAAGACACACATTGACAGCCTGTATAATTACCCATAAATGCATACATGGGGTATTGCTATTGTATCAATACTTTCAACACACTTAGATCATGGTAGAGGAAAATGCCTTGCTATGGTGCTTCTCTTTGCAAAGTCTCTTTTCTTTCCAGTCTCTTACTTAGCATGTGCATAGAAAGGGCAAACAAGGCATAAATATAACCTTCCTTCTTCTAATAGGAAGAGCGAGAGCAGTCATCCAGGCCTCTGTCAGCCTACTTTAGCCATTTCCCTTCGGGGCCCCTTCTCTACCATTTGTGAGGCAACACTTTCAAGAATGGCTCAGTGAGCTAGAAGTTCATAAACAGATGGATGCAGAAAGCCCAACCATGGCAGTGTCCATAAAACCATTCCTACAGTCACCTCTCCTCCCAGCTCCTCTCCACAAGGAGCCAGCAGTGGCTGCTGCATCATGGGAAGCCTGCCCCCAGCAAGTGCTTCTGCACAGCTGCATAAGGGCCATCAGGGATTATACCTGCTGTGGGCCAGGCACTGTCTGGGTAGAGGGAGGGCCCGCCTGTCTGACTCACTTCTTTGCTTTTCCACTCAGGTCTTTTTTCATAAAGGACCTGAGACATCCTACAACAAAAGATATAAATAATGACGTCACATAATAGAAAAACAAGATATAAACAATGACGTCACAAAATAGAAACAGAAAAAGCAAAACCTAAGAAAAAAATGTAATCTTAAGGGACAAGAGTATTACTCAGTGCTTTCTGACAAGGAGGCACAAAAGAAGAAAACTTAATGAGTGGTGTTATCAGTACAGAAATGCCAGTTCTCGGAGGACCAAAATTTCTATTGACATAAAATAGAAAAAGAAAGTTTTCACTCTAAGTTTTATAAAAGGAGTGATTAATAAAATGGACACATGCTCTTACACTGACCTTCAGTCAAAATTAAAGGCAAACCCCCCCATGTTCGAGGAAGTTCCACAGAGAAAGAAAAAATACCACCCGAATATATATACGTCTTATGGCATAACATGATCTAAGGAGAGAATTTAGAGGCCTTAGTCTGGCATCTGCTTCTAAATTCTGTTTTTATACATGAGCCATTCCCCTCGGGGGACATTATCTTTGTAAAATCAGATTTAAGACACCGCACACAACAAATTGTGCTTGATTTAATAACCTCTACTTGCTTGATCATAAGTCTGTGTGGTTCAATGTATTTTATTATACTGATATAGATAATTCCTACTTATATGTTTCTTGTTAGAAGTAATGCATGAATTTATCCCCCTTGAGGAAAGAACATGAATTTAAAAAAATAAAATAAAAATAGTGCCTGTAACATAATATGATGATTATGGTATCATGAGCAATAAATTTTTTTACAAAACTTGAATCGAAATTATCCTACCCTCTTTTTTTTTTGCGTATTTTGAAGATTTATGGATGGGACCATAAAAAGAACACTCATAAAAAGTTTAATAATGAAGGCAGCTGGGGTATTATTGCAGTGATGGATGTTCCAGAGTTGCTAGTATACTTCCACTTCCAAATGTTAGGTACCAGTCTAAAATCAAGATTTCTGATTTCAAGTTCAGAAAAATCTCAATAATAATGTTCTTAGAAATGAAGACTGGGGTTACTTAGACCTGCAGGACAAGGGCCCCAGCCCTTCACTCACAGCTGAAAGATCTTGGATAAGGTGGTTAGCTTCTTGGTAATTTATTTCAAACATGTCTCAGCATTGTTGTACAGACTTAAAAGATAATGTATATAAAAGCACTTTGTAAATTGCTACCTACGTGAGATGTAAATATAAAAGCCAGTGTATCTGCACATACACAAGAGTATATGTAAACTTTCCTAATTGGACCCATATTCTTTCACATACATGTGTGTAGTCCAACAACCAGTTGCAGGCTGGGCAGGGGGCCAGGAGGGCCAGGGACCAGGGCGTTGGCAGACCTCCCAGCCCCCAGCGAATCTTTACTCCCTCTTTGGGCTCTTTCTGGTGTCTTCTCATGGGTCTGACCCTCTGTAGTCACTTTGTCTCTGGTAGCCATTCTCC